TAGTGTGGAAGATCAGGGTACTTTGATTGACTGCCCTTCAAGCGCTAGTTTTATTTTCTACTGCATTGAGCTTAAAATAAAATTAATTTACAAGCTACAAAAGTCTGTATTCTTAAAAATGATAGCAAGGTAACATAATAATTTGAAATTCCCTTTCCAAGGCATTATACCTAGAAAACTACTGTGTTCTCAAACTGCCCCTCCCCTTCGCAGGGCTAGCACTGGGGTACACTGATTGCCCTGCCCTTCACCCAGCCCAACCCTCCCTAAAACATGAAATTGGTGACCCTTCAGGTGCAATAGTACCTCCTGGAAGTCCTTTCCTTGCAACCTTTGTCCTTTCTAGCTAGTCTGAGAAACTCAGATCTGCACTTCTTTCACCAGTCAAAAGGAGTCTACTCACACAGCAGTGTACCTCCTCAAGGGAAAGTGGCACTAAAACTACCTTCACTTTGCCAGGCGTGGTTAATTCCAACACTCTGAGAGGCAGACACACCAAATTAGCACCTTAGTGAGACCTTGCCTCAAAATTAAAAAGAGCTGGTGGTATAGATTAGTGCAAAGTTACTTTTCCCAGTATTGGAAAAAGAAAAAAAGAAATCACCTCTACTCAGTTTTACAACTTCAGAATGAATTAACATTTTTAAATTACAATGAAAGCAAGATGTGTTGTTTCTTTTACTTGTGTAACTAATACATAAGCAAGAACATTCTTAATTTATGCATGTGCCTACAAGCAATAAGCAATACATTTTTATTACTATTTGATGTGGAGTTTAAACTAAGTGTCAGGAAAACCTACCAGCTGCAATGAACAAATTAGGTTCTGTAAATCAAAGATGTATATGCAAGTATGTACTTCTGAAGTGCTTAAAAGCTAGTTATTAAGAGAGCACCTTCTAGCTTCAACCTTATTTACTCAATTTGTTGAGCAAACCTTTTCTCCTTCCTTCCTAATGTTCTTGGGATTGAGCCTTCACACTCAGCCACATACATTCAGCCTCCCAGTGTGCTGGGATTATGGGCATGCACACCAAACCAGCCCCTTTCTTCCTTGATTATGTAACATTTGGACATAGGGCAAACACAAAATGCAAATTAGTTTATGGCATATACGAAAATGAAGTTTTATTGTACCTATCCACATTGTAAAGATTTGCCTCCATATCCATCCTTCCTAAAATGGAAAATCTTTTTTCTTCAGTTTGGCCCAAGTGAACAAGAAAAAGTCAGACATTAACACTGTTACAGAAAACTGCCCACATGAAAGAGTAATAACTGATTTCAAAGCATACCAAAGTCATTTTTAAAATATAACCATCAGGAGATGAGGATTCAGCCAAGGGTAGAACACTTCCCTGGCAAGTGCAAGGTGCTGACTCCAACCCCCAACCCCTTTTCTTTCTCTTTCTCTTTATCTCTCTCTCTCTCTCTCTCTCTCTCTCTCTCTCTCTCTCACACACACACACACACACACACACAATCATCAGGGTATTTGTAAAATTTTAGAAATCAATCTGCTAGACAAATTTAATGTCCTAAGCCAACTATGGAGACGTCTGGCCAAAGAACCTTTTTGGCCCCCGATTTCAGGCAGGCTGAGGTTATACCACACCATCTAGTCCCCGCTTTTCCTGCAGGATGGGATCCGGACCCTGGTCACTACCACTGAAGTCCTCTGGAGGTCTCAGTTACCGCTGTCTAAGCACCTGCAGCTAAGCGGTTACCTCGTCCTAGGCCTACCTGTCTCCAGAGAAAGTCCAGGGCCATTTTTTAATGCCCCAAACACCTGAACACCAACCTCATCCTCACAGCTCAAGTACATCCTTAGGCTCAAGACAGAATGAAAGAGAAGGACTTGGGCTCTCAAAGAAAACTTTGTTCAGTGAGGATTTTTTAAAAATCCACAGGGTATATTTAAACTTCCACAGTGTGGAAAGATAGCTCAAATTTGGGAAATCAGTGAGGGTTTTTTTTTGTCTCCTTCAAACAAATACTTGTTTCATAATGTTGGAAATTAATTTGGGAACAACTTCAAACTACACATACATCTATCTGGACTTCAAGAAAAGAGTCATCAACAATTCAGCATACAAAACTACAATAATGAATATTAAAAGAAGTCTGTTAAAATACCACTATAAATCCAGGTGTGGCGGTGCACACCTACAATCCCAGCCCTCAGAAGGCTGAGGCAGCAGGATCACTGCAAGTTCGAGGCCAGCCTGGACAACAAAATCAGTTCAAGCCCAGCCAGAACTGCACAGTGAAAGCCAGTCTCAAAAAGACAAGACAAAAAAACAACAACAAACAAAAACCACTACAAGCGGACTATTGGAAATAAATGGATTTTGTGCCTAATTTACATAATCACAGAACAACAAATCTGGATGACTCAATCCCTGGGATTTAGAACTTTCTGCTGTGACTTCAAAGAATGTTGGTCCTAGTGATACATGCTACAACAAGGATTTCCCATCAACAAATGCTAAAGCCTTGCGAAAGTCTCTACTCCAGGGCCCAGAAGTTGTAAAGGATTTGAAAAGAATGGGGAGGGGTTTCTTTTAAAGCCACATATACATATAACTCTTAAACTATGATGTAGAGGTGTTAAAAATTCTTTTTGAAAAAGTCAATAGATTCAACATTTGTATTTCTGTAAGTCAGCACTATTCTAACCATGTTTATGAGGCAAAGACAACATGAAGAAAATGTCTGCAATGTAAATGGTGAGTGTTTTCTGAGAATCCATAAAAGGCTCTTACCAATCAAAAAGTATTAACATGAAGAGAAAAATCTGGTACTAACATTCAATTAAAAATGAATAAACAATAACTAAAAACAATAAACTAAAACAACTAGCTTTTGTGTGTGGTGCTAGGGAGGGAACCCAGGGCCTTCTCACTGAGCTACATCTCCAGTCCTTTTTATTTTATTATTTTTGAGACAGGGTCTTGCTCAGTTGTTCAGGCTGGGCTCCAACTTGTAATCCTCCTGCCTCAGCCTCCCAGAGTGTTGGCATTACAGATGTGCACCACCACGCCTGGCATCAGGTGATATGCTTTTTAAATGCTTTAGTCTGAAACTACAGTTTAGTTTCCAAGAAATAGTATAAGAAATTTCTGTAGAATTTCATAATCCTACTAAACACTACAAAATTAACCTTAAATTACTGACATTTAATTAAAAGGTGCAGACCTCTACCAAGAACTACTTACTCCCAAAAACCTGGTTCTAAAAAGAACAGGCTGTGGGGCTAAGGGATATGCATTCCTCAGTGGTAGAGCATGTGTTTAGCATGCAAGAGGCTCTGGAGCAATGGGGACTGTGGGGGAGGGGTGCCCCAGAGAAAACAGATGGGAAATAGTGGTGCAAATTACATAAATAACTTGTTGTTTTGTTTTGTTTTGTTTTGTTTTGGTACCAGGAATCGAACTCAAGACTTCACGCTTGCCAGGCAGGCGCTGTGCCACTGAGCTAAATCCCCAGCCCCAATAACTTGTTTTAAACTAAAGTGCATTGCTAAGTTTTATTTTTTAAGGATAAGCAAATAGCTCAAACATTTTTGGCAGAACTTTTTTTACATGATACAGTACTTAAGAAAAATTGTATAAAAGCACTTTTCTACACTGTAATACTCTACAAAATAGGGTATTTCTGTCATTTTAATTTAAACGGTCCATTCTATTTCTGCGTTAAGCACCCCTGAAAAGTTTGTGGAACTACAATTCCATTTATGCCTCTCTTTTCAAAGTATCCGCACTCTTTGTTATCTGGCTGTACTCAAACTCCGTAAAGAGGTCCTGGGTTACAGGGAGCAAAGTCTTCTTTTAAATCCCCCTCCCTCCTAAGTGGGACCCCGCTCTCGGAGTCCCCTCTCGGCCTCACTTCCAGCCCTGAGACTGACTCCAGTCACCTGGCAAAACATAAAAGCTTTCTTCCTCCTGTTTTGCCTATGATTTCGGTATTATTCAAACAAACAAAATACACTGGATTTCCTTTCTTAGAACACCGACTGCTTAAAATAAATGGTATTTGACAGAGTACGGGCAACTATGAACGCTAAAAAGAACCTAACGTCTTCATTCTCACCCTCAAGAAAGAGCTCAAAATCAAACAGATTTTGCCAAAGTAGTCACATACGAATATGTTAAAAGAGCTAAAAAGTTACAGTAAGGTGCAGTAAGTGCTACGAGCACTCCCCGAGGTGACCCCAGTTAGAAGTGGGTTTCCAGCGCTTACAAGTACACGCGCAGGAAGTAACGCGCCAGCGCCCGCGCCCCGGGAGCCGCAGCAGCCACGTTTCTCCCACGTTTCCAGCCTATTCCTCCTGCCGAGAACCGGCCCGAGCAAACCGCCCCGCGAGAAGCCCGGGGCTGCGGGCCCGCGGGTCGGCGTCCTGACCGCCGCCAGCCGACTGCTCAGCCGCCGGGTGCTTTCCAGGTGACCGCGCAGCAGCCGCTGACCCGCCCGGCTGCTCCCCGCTCTCCGCCCACCTCGGCACCGC